GAATTAAGATCGAGTTACCTAGGTCATCGAATGAAAAGAAAATCAGTCTCAACAGTAAACGACATTATAAAGAGAGAGTGATTTTCTTCATGGTCCGATCTTATGCAATACTCATTGCATAGGACGCCCCCACTCAATGTCTCCACATGTACAATTTAGTGATCACATTGTTTATATCATATACAAAAGTGGGCCGCATCCATAGTGTCCCTAGAATAAGGTACTCAGCCTTATCCTTATACTATAGATCATTTTGACTATATACTTGAACTTGATTCATTTTTATGTCTCTACATATACTTCAAGTAATTATACTATAGCCAGAGTGTTCTTAGTTTATTGGATTTAGATTAATGATCGTAAAGTTCACTTTATTCAATAACAATCTTTCTTTCAATGATTTTTTTTTTTTTTCTTCTAATGGGCAAAATCTAATCAATTTACCAACAAGAAAATTGATTTAGAAGATCTTAAAGAAGAACAAAGTCTTGATAAGATCCAGATCTAACACTTTAAAGAACATAAGATTTTTTTTTTTTTTTTTTGTTATATATTTTTGTGATAGAACATGAACATTCTACGCAAACTGAGAAAAAAAAATTATAAGAGAATTAAAAGAGATAAGCGCAATGAAACATATATCCGACCTTGAGCCTGAAGCTCTAATACCAAATGATATGGAAATCAAACCAAGGGAAAGTATGGAACGGATTACCTTGATAATCAAGATCAAAAGTAAAGAAAACTCGTTTCTAAACTTGTGGTTCGAATCACTCAACAAGAGGTTTGATCAATACCACTTGAATGACTCTAGCATGCAAGTTCTAAACACAATAATTTGCAAAGAAAAACTTAGCTCTCAACAAATCTAAAATAGAATTTTTTTTCTTAATTCCAAAATCTGATGTCTAATCAAAGAAAAGAGGGCTTTATATGCCCTTTACAACCTAAACCTACATGTGTGATACATAACTCCCAAATTAAATGGGCTAGTAAATGAGAAATACCAATAACCTCCATATTAAAATAGCTAGTTAATGGTGGAATATAGTAACCTATGTAGGTTACAATATAACCTTAACTCCTATATTTAAAACTAGCTTAAATATGACAAACAAATAGTTAAACTATAATTAAATAATGCAATTAATAAAATGTGCTTATTAGCCACCTTTTACTAGTTTCATAAATTCAGCGGAGTTCATTAAATGCAACTTAAAGTGCATTTAATTTATCTCTTTCTTGAAGCTCAACTTTGCCTAACATATAAGGGAGGTCTTCAACGTCTTCTAGAATTTCCTTTGATGAGCTCACCATAGCTTGAATATAACTGTATAAGGTTTGTTATAGCTTAGCGGAGTTCATTAAATGCAACTTAAAGTGCATTTAATTCATCTCTTTCTTGAAGCTCAACTTTGCATAACATATAAGGGAGGTCTCCAACGTTTTCTAGAATTTCCTTTGATGAGCTCACCATAGCTTGAATATAACTGTATAAGGTTTGTTGTAGCTTCTTGACTCTCGTCCTTGTAATTGGACCTTGAGGTATGGAAATTCCTTGGTTGTTTGCCTATGTTGGTAGCATAATAATAGTAGAAGAGAAAGTAAGAGCGAGCAGGATAGTGGTGGTAGAACAAACACGACGTTGATTTTCATAGATATGACTTAATTCGACATAATCTTGAGAATGAACCGTACCAACATTGATTGTCACATTGAGGAGGTCTTATTCCAACCCCATTTGAAGACAGTTTCAAATTCAAAGGGTTGAAGTCCAAGAGCGTGCCAAGGTTGATATTAATAGTAAACGTAGATTATTAAACCAAGGGGCATGGAGATTGTTAGCCAGCATGATAGATAACAGAGGCATGAATGTGTATATAACTACCATCTTGGTGGTGAACATATTCCTGAACATATTTTTGGAGGAGTTATCATGACTACCCTAGTGTAAAAGGTCGATTTTAGCATTGAGCTTGATTTTGAGGTGAACTTTATATCCAAGGCTCCTTACCAAATGTCTCCGATAAACGAAAAGAATTCAAGAAGCAAGTGCATGAACTATTAAATTAGGGTGTCATACGTTTGAGCGTATCATGTTAGGGAGCCATAGTATTGTTTGTAAAAAAGAAGGATGAGTCTATACAACGATAGAGAACCAAACAAAGTTACGGGGAAAAAAAGTTCCCACTACTACTGATAGATGACCTATTCGACCAACTCTAGGGAGTTGCAATATTTTCAAAATATTAAGTTGTGATCCAAATATCATTAGTAGAGAAGAGAATACCAAAGAAGCTTTCTAAACTTGTGATGGGCATTAAAAGTTTATAGTGATGTCTTTCCTGCCATATTTATGGATTTGATTAATAGAGTGTGCAAAAACTTCTTTGACATGTTTACATGTGTTCATAAATGGCATTCTAGTCTAGCATGAAGAGAATCTGAGAGCTTTGCTAACTGTGCTAAAAGCAAATGGACTATTTGTAATGTTTTCAAAGTAAGAATTCTCGCTCCACGATGTGGCATTCTTAGGCTATTTCGTGTCGATGGAAGGAATAGTAGTGGACGCCGCCAAACTCAAAGCAGCAATGGAATGGCTTCGTCCAATAGGGTGGCTGCTGTATGTAACTTCCTATGTCTAGTGTCACGTTCGCATTTTTCTTTACAACCAACTTTGCGATGGTACAATACACTCCTGACACTAAGTGAGACAAACCAATTCGAAATCGTATCACCATAACCGGATGACATATTCTCAAACCTCTAGTCGTATTTTGAAAAGAAGATTTTAGAAAATGGGGGCAAAAAGATTTTTGAAAGAGAGTTTAAAAGCAAGATTGAAAGAATCTTTGAAAGCAAGGTTATAGGCTATAAGTGAAAAATGCAACGCAATGTCTTAGAATATAACTTAAGGTAGAAAGAATTAACGACTAATTGCATCCTCCTATAGTACATTTTGTTGCAATTCAAGTCTGACAAGCGTAGACATGATTTCGCTGAACGATTGTACAAACAGAAAATACAATAATAAAGCAAACTAACATGAAATCAAATAAATGGTTTGGCGTGGCATGGGCATGCAACTATGGGCGACTCGTCCTCGACAAGCATGACCGTGGCATCCTCCCCAACCTAATTGATTGACGTCCCTGTCAACCGACTATTTTCAAACTCATCAATGTGGATTACGACAGAGCCTAGGTCATCAACGCATTCCCAGCTTGTTTCTTCTGTATGGAAGTTCTTCCATTTGACAAAAAATTCTCGAATCTTCCATACAGATCTTCCAACTTTCCTAACTCTATCAACTAGGATTGTTTCTACTTCCTTGGTGTCCTTCTGCTTTAGATCGACACCAGATCTGGTGATGAAATTTAGATTATCGTCGTTTGGATCGGGGTGGTAAGACTTTAGGTTACTCGCATGAATTACGGGGTGAATTTTCATCCATCTGGGCAACACCACTGTAAGATGTAGTCCTGATCTTTTTTAGAACTTCAATTGATCCTTCATATTTTTTAATAAATCTCTAGTTCTTTCGACTGCGAAATCTGATTTTCTAAGGCCTCAATTTGATAAGGACTTGATCTCCTACACGAAATAAGCTCAGGCTATATCTGTTGTTTGCTTCAATTCTCCTGTGCTTGAGAAGTGTTGGGCTTGAGGGTTCTTCCCTGCATATGGATGATCATTAATATGAGGGGGCAAGGCTAGTTATCGTCCACTTACAATTTCAAAGAGGCTGTTCTCAATAGACGAACTCGTTAGGCAATTGAAACAGAATTGAGATACATCTAGCAGTTGTACCCAATTCTTCTGATGAGTTTTGACAAAGTGACGCAAGTATTCTTTGGGCAAGCAGTTAAACCGTTCTATCTGTCTATCGATTTAGGGGTGGTAGCTCGAGGAGATATTTAAAGTTGTCCTCATAAATGTGAATAACTCTGTTCATAATGTTTTGATGAATCTATCGTCTCAGCCACTGACGATGCTCGATGGAATGCCCCACAACTTCACAATATGTTTGAAGAACAGTTGTGCTGTTAACTCACCCAAGAATATTTCGAGGGTAGGAATGAACATGACATATTTTGAGAACCGGCCTATGATAACTTAGATGACTTCATATTCGCCTACTTTTGGGAGGCTTGTTATGAAGTCTGGTGACACAGTTTTCTAAGGTCTTGTTGGCAGTTGCAAGGGTTCAAGGAGTCCTGAGACCTTGGTCTTCTCGACTTTATCCTATTGGCAGATGAGACACGTCTTTATATACTGCATTATGTTATCACGCATGTTTGGCCAAAAGTACAATTTCTTGACCAAGACATAAGTTTGTTGCCACCCGAAGTGTCCAACCCATAAAGTATCGTGACAATCCTAAATGAGCTTCTTCCTCAGTTCTCCCATTCATGGGACATACAAATCTTCTGGCCAATAATTCATTTAGTTGTCTTCTTGGTTCAACTTCATGTGGTGGAGCCATCAAATATGCATTCTTCGCTAGAGATTTGACTCAGGGAGAAGCTCGATTTCGTGTTCAATACCCCGACAAGGTGGTAGTGTTTTTGGGAAGCTCTCTAGCATTATGTACAAGTTCGGTAGTGGTTACATTTTTTACCAAAGGTATGACAATAAACATGGACTCCTCTTGTGCGAGTCCTCTTTTCAGTTGTAAGGCGAAAATCATTCTGCGGTTGTCTAGTTGTTTGATGCCTACAAAAATTACGGTAGGATTGCAATCGGTAATCAACATGCAATTCGCCGATGACATTAGGATGTCTTTGTGCTCAAGGAGACGTCCATTCCAAGTACCACTTTGAAGTCATCTAAATAATGACTAGGTCCATTGGGAGTTTTTTTTTTTTTTTTTTTTTTTTTTTTTTTTTTTTTTTTTTTTTTTTTTTTTTTTTTTTTTTTTTTGAGGGAAAAAAAGAGATAAAAGCCATGCAAAAAGAAAAAAAAAAGAAAAAAGAAAAGAAATTGCAAAAAGGGATTGGGAAGTTTGAGTTGATATCTAACTTCTAGTCCCATCAATCTCTTGTTTCATAGTTTGCTCTTTTTTCACCCATAGGCATTAGAATACAAACCAATAGAAAGACACCCTCCCCTTTTCCCTCCTCCCCCACAGCTCCATGCCAAACTAGCTGAGCTTGTCTCTCAGCTCAAAAGCTGTTTCCAATTAAAACCCAAATTGAAACAAAAATAAAATATAATAAAACCCTTCCTCTTTCCCTTCTATTATGACCCCATTTGTCAGCTTGTTATGTCTCTCTCTCTCTTTCTCTCTTTCTCTGCCTGCCGTGTCCGTGCAGATTTTCAATTTTGAAACAAAAAAATATTCTAATCTTCTTTTTAGAACCCATCTTGAAACCGATTGATCGAGGAGGGAACGTCCAAACTCTGCTGCTGCTGCTGCTGCTTCTTCTGTGATCCGTCTCTACTACCTTTGAACGCCATGGCATGCCCCACCGGAGCACCGATACAAGTGTAGCTGCTCGACTCTACCGAGGTGGAACCGTAGTTCACAGTGTGATGGGTGCAATGGGAAGGGTTCCCCAAGACATGCCCCACATAGAATTCGTTGATGGAGGCTTGTGGTGGAGGAGGAGGAGGAGGAGGAGGATAGTATGAGGGGAACCCGGATGGCCGTGTCGGCGAGCTGTAAAGATATGCCGGCTGCGGTGACAGAAGAGTGGTTGGGAATCTGAGTGGCAGCGTTGAATCACCCCCTACGCCGCCGCTTTCCCCCGTATGGTAGCTTCCTCCCGGTGCCATTGAATGACAGCACCTAATCACCCCAAAAAAAGAAAAAAAAAAGGAAATTTATTGGGGACGTGTAAGCTTTCAATTCGCCAATACAAATGTGTGAGATTGATAGAATACCCTAAATGAGGAGGAGGTTGGGCGGCCAGGTTATCGTTAGTGAAAACAAGCTGGCGAGCTCGATTGAGTGTCTCTGTCTCTCTCTCTGACCAAAACCCAAACAGAAACGAAGTCAAAAAATGAAATGAAATGATAGAGAAACATAAAAGAAAGAAAAGTAGTAAAATTTTGCCTTGGCGGTGGCGGTTCATGTGGCCACCAAGGGCCTGGGATTTGCAGAACTTGAGGGAGCAAAACCTGCATTCATACACCTTTCCGGCCTCGTCTTTGCCCTCCTTCATACCACTTTTGTTCTTGCGATGACCTGCAACAACACATTTTACTCAATTTTGTGTTGTTTGTGTTTGTTTAAGCCCACAAATAGTTGAATTTACCAGTAGAGGTGTCTTCACTAATCTGTTTGCCATCTCGGATATTATAATCTTCAGGTAAGTTGTTGAGGTCTAAAGGACTCTGTTGGGATCGCCTGTAAACCAACAAAAATTAGAGAAGAGTTAGATGAAGAATAAGATATAAGTGAAGGGGAAAAATTGGTTTATGTGGGGAAGACCACCTACATGATGAAGCAGAAGTTTGAAAGAGAGAGAGAGAGAGTTGGAGTTGGAGTAATGGGGTGGTGAAGAAAAAGAGCTTTGAAAGTTCTCTATCAGTTCATCTGCCACTCTCTTAAAATTTGAAACCAACAACAAACAGACAACAGGAAGGCTCTCGTGACTTTAAAAGGGAAGAAGTGAAAGGAAGGGCTTAAGGGTTATTAGGTTATTATGTGCAAATCTGGTATGTACTTAGCTTCACAATCACACACTTCTTTTAGTTTGTTTGTGTTTATGTTTTGATTAGCATTTTAGATTTGGGTTATATAATTTGAATTAATTGGAAGAAAGCCTGGAAACCTGGATCAATTTGGAGCTTAAGGTTCAAACATAAAATACCCACACCATTGAAAAATTCTATCAAACATTTTAAATTCACATGGTGATTTGAAAACTTACAAAGTGGAGATGCAAGGAATTTAAAATGTAAAGAAATTTTGACATAAAAGTATTTAAAAGTATAAAATAATATTTGGGGAGTCACGTCAAAGAGATTGACAAAATACACCAGTTTCAAGAAGCAATATTTAAAATAACAAGAAGAGATGATTCAATATAAAGGGGTCCTTCCCGCATTGCACAATTAAGGGTGCCTCCACTATTAACATAGGTCTATGCTCCATTCGAAAAATAAAGAATAGCATGCCTATAAATTGTAACTAACATAGGTCTATAAAAATATTCTGTGAATGTTTCTTAAGCTATATACTCCTATTACTAACTTGAAAATTAGCCAATACTATGGCACATTCAATGTTAGTCCTATAAGATTCAAATGTAACTAAACCCTATACACTTCTCCACTAGGGTGTATACATGACCCTCCTTTTCCTTTAGGGCCTTAAGGTAGGGTTTTTTTTTTTTTTTTTCTTTTAACTCTATGTTTTCATTTTCAAAGCCTACCACCAACTTTGCGCTAATTGCGCGTGAATCAAATTGCCCTTGTAATAGACTATAGGGTACGTCTCATGTGTATGATGTATGTCATGCTCTATAAACAAACAAGTACTCTGACTGTCTGTATCCCATACGTATATGTTTATTGGGTGCTTCCCGATAGTATATCCAATATGACTTCTTAGACCCTCTATAAGTGACAACTAAGATGTACAAAGTAGACCCTAATCGCTTTAGGAATGTTTATGATTAGTAAGTTGCTCATAATCGTCCCTACTTAATAATTGGCAACCTGAAATGTCTATGGGGCACTCAAATGTAGGTTATATGACTGAGGAAACATAAGACAACCGCTCATGTTTATTCATACGCCTTCTAGACTCTCTATGGCACATAGCGGATATCCAAAGTATTAACTAGGTATACACAAGTGTCTAACTCCTATAACATGCTTCTACGATTATAGTATACACGTACAAATGTCCAACATGTTAGAAACAAACCATTAACCATCATAAAAATATCATTAGAACTAATTGAAGTTCTCAAACATGCAAGCATAAGCTATAAAACTTATTATTGTGCTAAATCGAAAACCGACAAAGTTTCTAGACTTAGATATCATATATGCCAATTAGGCCTATAATCATGCTTTCTAATTAGTAGTCAACTATCTTAATCGACCCGTACAAGTATTACTTAAAAAATCATCGATGTGGCTACTTAATAGAGTTTTTTCGATTTGACTAGACCAAAACTAGTCCCACCGAATTGATTGAGTTTGGTTCGAATCAGTAGTCATCCTTCTTCTGTGTGCATCACATTCCCTGCCGATGCCCCCTTTTCTTCTTTGGTTCTTTGCCTACCGGCCTCGACTAGCTTAGTTCACTTTAATAAAGCTTTCACTTTGCAAAATTTTGAGAGGTAAGGTGTGGTGAGTTGACAATTTGAGAGGTTGTGCGATAAGAACTCGTCACCTTGGTCAATGCGCAAGGTTTTTAGTTTAAGTCTTTTAAATTTCTTGAACACACAAAATGTCTATCTTTTTTCTCTAAGCATGTATACCAACATCAAGGACTATAATTATCAATAATTAAGAGAAAATACTTGTTATCAATAATTGACAATGGAGGAATTAGACCACATAAATCTGCATGAACAAATTGCAATGGTCGCTCAGCACGAAAGTTGGTTTGAGCTCAGAACGACATCTTGCTTATTTTGAGACTAGGCAACCCTATTCCTCAGTCCAACTATTCAGGATTTTGTTGAAGCAAAAACCTTTGAATTAAAAAACATTAACACCTTATATAAAATTCGGATCAACCAAGAGATAAGCTAGAACTAGATTAGGTTAAAGATTTAGAAGCAAGATTTGAACACTTGTTCTAAATTGAGTTACTCCACAATCAAATTAATCAAGGCTGGATTGAATGATTCAGATGCAAACTACCACAAGAATGACATGAAACTTAGAAATGACAAAATTGATGCTCGGATTTCGAAGGATGAAAGTCTCAATTGAGATCGTGATTTCATTCGTCACAAATCTTATTTTTACATAATGATTTGTGGGTATTTATACTCAACCCACACAAAACTTTTAAATATTCAAATGTCCATTAAAGAAGTTAGTGGTCATGATTTAATCTGATCCCCTTAAATCTCGATAAGAAAGGAAGTCAATTTGACAATTAATTTTCCATGGGCAACTCATGAAATGATGATCGCAACTTCATGAGCTATTTCAACTGTGCAAATAATGTCTGAAGCTCCAAACGGTCCTTTCTCAATCGAATCATCTTGTAATACATGAAATGATGGTTGAACCGAGCCTATCCAATTTTGTAGATGAAGAATGAATGCTTGTGTGAATCTTCTTTGTCTTGGATCGTGTAATAGATCTAGTTGAAACATTTGAAACACCGTAATCCTTATCACTATGAAACCACATCACTTAGCAAATTCATTTTTCAAAGGGAGAAGACGGGTGATGTGGCTAGTTACGATCAAATTGAACAATAAATGTGACCTTCTACTCTATTTTTGTTCATTTTGAGTCGTTTCTAAGCTAATTTTTAATATGTTTCCATTAGTTTCTTTCTCCACTTAATTTAGAACCTACCTAAGAAATTTAGTGAGCTTTAGATGATCAAAATCATGGAAATTGAGGTCCCTAAGACACATGATTTAAAAAGTTTCAAGATATAATCGTAGGAATAAGTTGAAAACACTATGATTTAAAAAGTTTGACCTCTTATTAATCTAAGAACAAGCATGTTTAGGGCCTTACACCACATAATAAGAATTATTAATTGATAGAACCCGATAAGCCTTGATTGATTCTCAAACATGATTTTAGTTCTTCAAGTTAATTGAATTGATTTTGCTAAGCATGAAAATTCATTATTTGATATTGTATGTTGATATCTGTGGTATTTAAACATTTATTACAAATTGAAGAATGTTATGTGAACCCTTATTGTGCTTAGGGTATAAATGCATGTAACGATTTGTCGTGTAGGACTTGTTAATTATGTTTTTAGTAACTTGAACACTCTTTTATAACGATGCATGATTTTAGAATCGAACTCTAGTTCTCTAAGACAAAGATCATCCGTAGGGGCTGATAATTTTTTTTTACTCAAAATGAGATGAGTGTACAAAATCATCGTGTTTTCCTCGAGAGACCTAGCTAAATGTTAAGAATGAGTTGAAATTGAAAGTGCAATCTTCATGGATATTCACAATGTTTAAATATGATACAACATACCGACTAATACTAACAAGTGAAAATATAAACTAATTAAATCTAGAGAATAAAATAAAATGAAAATATAAACTAATTAAAACTTGAGAATAAAATAAAATATATTCCTAATCAAAATCATAAAGTTAAAAAAATATTAATTAATTATTATAATATATTCTTCAAATATTATATCTTAATACTTCTCCGAGTTAGAGAGTTAGAGAGTTAGAGAGTGTACGTTCATCACACCCAACTTGTTTTTCAAAAAATCAAATTGATGTTTTCCCAAATTTTTAGTGAAAATATCTGTCAATTTCATTTTAGTCGAAATATAACACGGTTTGATGATTTCCACTTGTAATTTTTCTCAATCTATATGACAATCTTTTTCAATGTGTTTCGTCCGTTCGTGAAAAACTGGATTGCCGGACATATGATTGAATATGATCCTTCTGCCCAAACTGAAATAAATAAATAAATAAATAAATAAATATATATATATATATATATATATATATATATATATATATAAAAGAGAATTAAAAGAGATAAATGCAAGGAAACATATATGAGCCTAAAATTCTAATACCAAATGATATGGAAATCACTACAAGAAAAGTAAGACTCGGATTACCTTGTTGATCGAATATCTCAAGACAATAACACTTGTTTGAGATTCGTATTAGTCCACCAACAAGATTGATCATGTCAAGATTGAATGATTCTACATTCAACCTAAACTATATAGGATTGCAAAGGAAAGCACAAATGTCTTTTTTACTACATCTTCTAAGTCTATCTTACCAATATAACATACATGACATTATAAAGCCTCAAAAGGAAAACTCTCAACATGAGGTAACTTTCCGACCATAATTAGCCAATAAACCTTAAAGTATATTAAATAAGCATCCTAACTCATCCACCAACAATTTATAACAATGAAACTTGATTCTTTTTCAATGTGACATGAATTGAAACATGTTTCGATAATTTTGACAACATTTTCTACACATTTTTCTTGAGGTTTATATGGTATGATTGATGTCTTGGTTCATTTCAACCTTCCTATTTCCTCCTAACAACCTGTTTATAGTAAAAAAAAAAAAAAAAAAATCAGTTAGCAGATTTTTGATATACGGGGACCGAATCCTCCCAACTAGTAAGTCTTAATCTCAAAACATGTTTTTCATCAACGGTGTAGATCTCATATTTTGTATTATATATGATATGAAAGAACTTGCATATTAGATTAGAAAATAAGATTCCAGAAATTTGAAATTAAGGGTAAGATATTTTAGGAGTTTAGGGTTTTGGAGTGTAAATGTAGCATCAAAATTGCTGGTGTATTTACTTCAATCGTGGTTCTGCAGATATCTTGACAGTCCAGCCCG